ATCCCATATATTAACAGACATGTCTATAGATTGTTGCGCGGGATCCGGTCAAAAGCATTCTGTAGGTCCGCAAAGAATACGTAAACCGAATGCGCAGCTTCTCCCGATTTTTCAACAATCTAGCGTAAGGCAAATATCTGGTCAGATTTATTTTGGCAGAGCCCAAAGTCACTTGCCACACTTCTATCGTATTTTGGAGTCAGTTATTATGTGGTATCTCCATTCTACTATTTTTGCGTCGACTTAACCCGGGAGGCTAGATAAGGTAATGCCCTAAAACAGGTTACATTCCGTATAGTCTCCCTTCTTAAACAAACGTACTACAACCAATATTCACCGGTCTACTGGTACTCCCCGTAGAGCCACTGCAACTTTTAAAGAGACCTCTCGGTCTAAACGTGCTTTGTTCGCAAAAAGCCTTCGGCATTAAATGGCGGATTTCATCGATTTAAAGCTCTTTTTAGCTTTTGCAACTTCATCCACTAACAGATCAATATTTGTTGGTTACCGCTTTTCAGGAATGCATCCCTGCGGTTATTCTTGTCTGACAAGTTCCACAAACAACCCTCTCGGTCGTCAAAATCCCCAACCTCTGTAAGATGGATTCCACGCTTATCCTTCAGGAATCTGAGACTGACCTATCTTCGCACTGCGAGGTGGCATATAATCTTCCTGAATGCCTTGTTTGCCGTCTGGAAATTCGATTCCAGCAACTCACCGAACTTTTGCCAAGAATCCGCATTCGTTTTTTGCAGCATTGTGCGCTCTTCGTCTTGCATTCGAATATAAGGACCTTTGCATCAAAACCATCTCTCGAATGTAGGTTTCTTCTCGAAGACAACCAGCTGAGACATACATATCCATCATGAAGTTCGTTTCTGACCTCCAGTCGACAGCCTAACCCATCTTACGTCTCAGAATTCGGCGGTAGCCAAAAGCATGCCGCTCTTGCATTCGGCTTCCATATCAGCGGATTTGTCCAAGTTCTCGATCGATGCTATTTGCAAGTTTTGCCCTAGTATCCTATGAAGATAATATTTCCCATTTGATTCTCCGGTTGTTTCTGCGAGCAGATCATCGCGTGGTACTCTATTATTCACTGCGTAGTGTGCCAACGACAAGGTGGTGGTCAGCTCTACGCCTCTCTTAATGCGAACATCCACTGCAGAGCGCCGGGCGACGACTGTCAAATCGATCATGGACTTCTTTGCTCAGGCTTTCCTGTACCAGGCATGCCGATGAATGCTTCGATGCTCAAAGGTGTTCATAATGGAGAGTCGGTTGTTTGAACAGAACCGCAGCAAATTCAAGCCGTCACTGATGAGGTCGCTAGGGCTGTTCTTTCCACTTTTCAGTGTATGCCCCAATGGTTGCTCCCATACACGCCTTTAAATCGTCCGTTAGAACGAGGGTCTCTGTAGTCGGCACATCCTAGACAGCACACTCCATTTCCTCAAGAAAGCATTATCTC